AATGTATTTTCATTTTCCGTATTTTTCTGATAGATGGACTTAGTTTTTTTACAGTTAACATTTACAGTCTGGGATTAAATTTTTTTGACATGATAAGTTTGTTAACCTTCATAGATTGTTATGACACTTGACAGAAGCTTATCTTCAAGACCAAGAAATAGCATCTAAAGAGAAAGTTTGAATTTTTCTTGTAATTCTGTATTTAACTGATAAATGTACTCACTTTTTAAGTAAACATTACACTTTTACACTGACTGCAGCGATGGTAGGCGAGACACAGGGTTCCGAGGAATCCCTTTCGAATTTTTATATTGAAAAGCATTGTGGATTATTTCTTTTAGACGATTTTTCAATTTCACATGGGGAATGGTGGTATAAAGGGTTGAAAAATCAAAAGTTCTGATAGAATTAATTTCAGAGAAAAATCGAGATTTAAAATTATCCAGAAGTTCTTAGTTTTTTAGAATCCACATATGGTTAATACCACTTCGCGAGTAAACAGTTTCACAGTATTTCCGAAGACCTTCTTTCACTACGGACAGATTTTTTGTAAATCTAATGGACAATTCCTACAAAGAACATGCAGATGAGCCGGGTATGTTGTTTGTACGGAATTTTGTGAGGCTTAGGTATCCAATACAAACAAGATAAGTCCTCAGATTTGCTGTTCAATGTAATGTTCATTGAAGCCATGAAGGACTTATGATTAGCCAAAATCTCATCCTTGTCAAATGATAAGTCCGTTTGTATGTGGGATTACCTGAGCGCTCATTTATTCCTAATTCTTTTACAAGACACTCATACTAGTACGATTTACATACAAAGACAATATTATTTGAAGCTTTGTCCGCAGGAAGAACAACAACATATTTATCGTGAAGAGATAATAGACATTTCACAGCTTTTTTGTCTCTGAAAAACGAACTTAGGTCGATCATTCACACAGTTTTTCAACTTACGAATTCGACGTTTTATCAGAGACTTGATTGTTTTTACCCATTTCTGACAAAGTGTCCAGTTCAACTTCTTCTCGTTTAGCCCATGCTCTGGCGTAGTCCTCAATGGAATCCATAATTATTTTGAAGTTATGGTTCCAATTGATGTGTTGGGGTTCTCTGAACATAGGACCATGAGATATCACCTTTCGAAGATGATCATGTTGAATTATGTTTAGATCCCCAGTAATAACATGGCCAGAGGGGCTGTAAATATAAGGCAAGTAGGAACAATACTTGGAATTAAAAACCAAATATTTACATATTATCACATTAAATGAGAGAAATGAGCATAGAAATTTTGATGTCAACAGATTTAAGATTTGAGTGGAACCGTACTTAGCTAAATCGTCACATTGTAAAAGTATTATATTGACAATAAATTCTTCCATGGTCACATATAATGAGAGTAAGATACAGTTGGGATTAGTTCTAACCTCTGTTTATGACTTAAAGAATAATCTATATTCTTATCAGGTCTTCCTTATAACAGTTCTAGGGTAGAAATGTCAGAATCAGTTCTAGGTTAGAACTCTCCAAATCTGATCTAGGGTAGAACACTTCTAAATGACGTAAATAAGAGCAGGCATGGTTAACTGGATTTTCCTTGTTTGTCATATTTTAGAAACATTTATGATTAAATAGTAAAAATAATTGCAGTCTTGAATGTATGTTTTAGTTCTGTTAGTTCTCCGTGTTAATTATTAATTTTTAATCAAACATATGTTTATTTGTTTATATATATAATAGTGCTTAAGCAATAATGAAAAATGCTTCTATTATTTTCGTAATTATTCTAAAAAATAACAGTAATATCTTCTCTTTAAACAGGTCGAGAAACTGTTTACTACACGTTAATATGGTGTCTTCCCGATTGTCCCACTTTTTGAAATTACAGGTAAAAAAGTAATGAATTTTTGTGGGACAATGGGGAATATGTTTGTGGGATAATTGGGAAGTTTAAATGTGGGACAATCGGGAATTGTTGTTATAGTAATTAATTTGTTTTTATAGTGTGTAGCAGGTAATTACAGGTAACTAATCAATGTAACATATAAAATATGAAATCAACATGAACAAATAATAATATCAACATATTTTATTTTGCACATACAAGGTACAGTTTTATTGTCTCGCCTTGACGGAGTCAAAAAGCGAGACATCGGTATGCTGTTTCCGGCACACATACTGCTGAAGGTACAACAATAAAGCACACACAATACATGAGTACAACAATAAAGCACACATAATACATAAGTACAACAATAAAGAACACATTATACATAACATAAACACAACAACACAACAACACAACAACACAACACATCATATGATTGCAAAAAATATTTTATAACTCGGAAATGTTATATTATTTAATCAAAATTTCATTAATCTGATGATTTAAAAAAAAATCATAATATTTTATACATTTACAAAATTGAAATTAAATAATAGTTTGAACATGTTATAATTAATTCTTGTTTATTTAGCAATATAAACAACAGTTATTTTGTTTATTTAAGAACATTTTACTTCGTAAAATAATGTGGTACAATCAGAACTTTTCATGTGGGACAATCAGAACTCTAAAATTTTAAAAAGTGGGACAATCGGGAATAAACCGTTAATATTTAGATTACGCAGTTACTATACCAGAGTTTACCTGACATTATAAAATCTTATGTTCTTATGTAATAGTACATATGTGGTTTAGTTTCATTGTGTAATTGTTAGTAAAGCTTAAAAAAAACTTTAAAAAAATAATAAACATTGAAAAAATGAACACTACTAAAAAATTAGCCACAAAAAAGGTAAGAACAATATCCCACATTATTTTGTTTGAAATGAAATATAGATAAGATTAAAAACATTAAATAGATTAATAAATTTAAGGAAAGAAATAAAATACATAAATAAATATATAAATGAATAAATAAATGAAATTAGAAAATAAATAAAATTAATAAGATTAATGAAATCATTGACATAAAATACAAATATATTATATGGGTCATTTTCAAAAAAATGTGGAATTTTGAAATATCAAAATTGATTTAAAGTTACTAATTCAATCAACCCTCTTCATACGCAAATCAAAACATACAGTACTTATGGAACAACATATAAAAAGATGCAATCTTGATAATGTCATACAATTATATATTGAAACATGTTTTGATAGGTGGTGCAATATTTTGTCTCTCCTGTTACCATGTTCAAAAGACATTTCGGGTTATTTAGAAAAGGTTTCGATAAAATTTTAAGCTACTTTTTCATAGCCAATAAGATGGTTTTCAAGATTAAAAACTTCTATATATTTTCATTCTGTGAAATGACAGATTATTTGTCAATTTTCCATGTTGTACTGAAAAATGCCTCTAAAAATGGTTTTCAAATGTTATAAAAATAACAACCAGTAATGCAAGACTAAGATAGATATTCATAATGTTCAGCATTTTTTCTCTTTCTGATAATAAAACCCAACATCAAGTAATTCCCTCGCATTTTGGTTTACTTTTGTCTTTATTTTATTGGTAACAGGGACGTACGATAATGATATATCACCGTATCAAGTTCTATCCTGTAACCCTTTTTGTCTATACTGTTACCGATAGCAGTATTGCATGTAAATGCTAAATTGCGAAGATTAAGACGTTATAACCTTTATATGAGTTCAAACAACGAAACATTTCATTAAGTGTACAACTATTTGCAGTTTTAAACTATTTAAGGTCGTTTCTGTCAAATATTGTCTATCCTGTTACTGTAACCATTGTAACCAAAGTAACTGGATAGACAAATTTCTTCATTTATGAATGCTGTTGTGAATAAACTGCTTCCTTTGATGAAGTGATAATGTTTTTCTGTTGTGATTTTGGTTTCCAACACGTTATTGAACTTTTTACAAGTATAATATTGGTGTAATTAATAAATATGTTGGTAACAGCATAGACATGACAAAAAGGTACCCACTAAATTTTTTCACTAACTGTCTTGATTTTATTTTACTCTGCACTGTTACGCAAGAAACGTGCTGTGTTAAATGTTTAGGTTGCTTTGGCGCTTTTGAAATCAACACGGATTATTTCAATATTCATAGGGAGAACAATTTAATGGTTGATTTAAGTAGCGGTCACAGGATGGACATGAACTTCATGTACGCTGATTGGATTTAGTTTGTAGAAAAAATGTTACATAGAATAATAGAGAATCTGCGATTTTTCATTAGAGTTATTATTTACATTCTTAAAAAGTCCCTTTTGCAAATACAAGGCAATCAGAAAATAGGAAAAAAATCATTTGAAAAGTGTTACCCTGACACTGTACTCACATAAATTACGCAAAAATCGGACTTAGATATATTTTAATCTTATCAAAATAAATCTAAATCGGGTTCATTATTAATGTTCTAACTCAGAAATTCTACATACTTTCATATAAATACTTACAACTGCATTTTCCTTTAGAAATAAATTTTTTAGCATAGGTGTACTGAAAATTCGACATTTTTTTTAAAATGACCCACATGTCTATGATAAATGAATAACTATATTAAAGATAAGGATGTCCAAAACTGTTCTAGAGATAACACTATCAAGATCTGTTTTAGGTAGAACTGTCATAATCAGTTCTATGTTAGAGCTGTCATAATCAGCTTTAGGGCAGAACTGTCAGAATATGTACTAGGTTAGAACAGTTTAAATCTGTTTTATGTTAGAACTGTCCAAAACTGTTCTCGGGTAGAACTGTCTAAAAACGTGTAGGGCAATACCGCTTCTAGCATAAACTGTTATAAAGGTATCAGCAGAACTGTTCTATAGACTATGACATTTGTGCAAAATTCGTCGGATTGGAACAATACTTATTTTGTCCGTGTTAATTGGATATTGATATTGGCTGCTTATAATTATTGGCATCCTCGTAGAAAGAAGTTGAGGCGTGGGCGTGATGAGACTGTTTTCTAATTTAGTTTTTCATTGTATCTTCTATCTGAATTTCATTTAGGTATGATGGGACTCGTATGGTCAGAGACATCCCGAACTAAAGATCAACTTCATGACAGATATTTTCCAAGGATGCTTGCAGTTGCAGAACGTGCATGGCATAAAGCAAAATGGGAAAACATTTCGAAGAAAAAGGATAGAATGATGGAACTAAATAAAGATTGGACAAATTTTGCTAATCGTCTTGGTTACAGAGAATTAGAGCACCTAGATAATATCGGGATTAAATACAGATTACCACTACCTGGTGCAAAGTTTGTAAATTTTGTTGTTGTTTTCAAATAATTTGCAATAAGGATAGATTCTATGTACTCTTAATTACATGTTATAGTGTTCTTTTAAATTGTAAATTCTTTGTAAATTATTAATTTTTACTGTTTAGTCCATTTTTTGTAATATCCTTTTGGCGTGGCTCGGTACTTATACATCCCGACATTGTGTTATTGTGCTATGGTCATTTTTTATATTCTTGTCTTTCATTTTTGCTTATGTGCTTAGTCTATAGGCCATTTTGTTTTTCTCTGTTGGCATATTTGTTATTTTTAATAGGGTTTAAGATTATAAAAAAAATGTTGATTGCTGTACCCCTATTTTTGACATTTGTACCTTTTATGTCTTTTTGTTTTGTTCACACATTGTTGTCAATATAATGGAATTTTATGCGACTGTCATACAAGTGAGAGGTTTAGCTAGCTATAAAACCAAGTTTGATCCACAATTTTCTACATAAGGAAATGCCTGTACCAATTCAGGAATATGTCAGTTGTTTTCCATTCGTTTGATCTGTTTGAGCTTTTGATTTTGCCAATTAATATGGGACTTTCCGTTTTGAATTTTCTTTGAAGTTCGGTATTTTTTGTTAATTTACTTTTTACTGGAATCAAATAAACCTTAATCAGAACCAAATAAATTTCAGCATGTTTAGCTCTTTTGCATTTGCAAATAATAGTCTCACAACATGATTATAAATCAAGTACATAAGGGACCGGATTATCATAATCTCGGGTGTTTGTGGTTTGATACAAAACGGCTAACTTATTCATAATTGAATTGTTAAAATTGTTTTATGCTATTTAATTAGTGAGAATCAATATTTTTTAGCATGCAATCGAAATTATAGAAATTTCAAACACACTTTAAAAAGCAATACATACTTTATTCAAATAATGTGTGATATCATTATACTACATAACAATAACAACAAAATAAAATACGAATCAAGGCGAACGTGAATCAGGACGAATGTACCCGGATTCCTTTATGTCTATATTGTCGTTCATGTACAAATCATTTTTAGACAGCAAAGTGAAATATAAATGTCAACAATTCACCAATTGAGTTTCGAGTAAACCGAATTCTTGTTTTGCTATTAAAAATTAAATTGAAAAAGAAAAGAGCAAATGAAGATCAGGAAGTATATGCTATATATAGAGACTATAAAAATATGATACGTTACTCGAAAACAGCACACATATCGGTATTCCCTCGCATCTGATTCTAGTTGAACCTTTTCTTTGTGCTTCTAACTATCAAAATATGATAGGTTACTCGAAAACACGAATATCAATATTCCCTCGCATCGGATTTTGGTTGTACACTTTCTGTGGGCTTGTTATGCAAAAATATTTCCAAATATATCCAAAAGAAATAATGAAATAAGTTACAACTCCAGCGGAGATGAAGATGACCCAACTTTTGTTTAAAATATTTTTGGACACAAATTCAAACCGACTCCATAGCATATGACGGAGCTGAATTTCCGTATAATATGAATCGAATGTTTTGTAAATACAGATGCGTCAAATTTTGTAGAGTTCGGTAAGTAGATTCATTTTATACTAATTTTCCCAGGTGTTCCACACTTAACTATATTTTCAAATAAAATATATGTCCCTCCCGCCCGCGGTAATCCACAAAAACTATTTTGTTATGTAGCGTTATATTTAATTTACACGTACCAAATTATATGCAACATGTTTATTTCTAGGATGTCTGAAGATACATTGAAAACCAATACAGCTTTCCCAGGGCTTGTTGTAGAGCACAGTCAAGATAACAGGACATGGAAAATAGGAAAGCTTGATGGGTTTTCAAAGACGTTTTTAAGAACCAAGTATGCATTTCACTTTCTATTGTATTATTTTTGGGAAGTTTGCAATATGATTCGGCAAATCTTTCCAAAAGCATCGGCCTTAACCGGAAGATAGACGGGTTAGATACTTAAGAAATGTAGTCTACTCCTAAAAATAGAGTACTAATGTTTAAATACTAATTTTTGGAAGATCCTTTTAAATTTGAGTTACACCTTTTTAATGAGCTTATAGCTTTAATCAAAATGGACTTAATGTTTACCGACAACTCAAATGAATTCAATTCCATTTTGAAAAAATATATCACAAACATTACTTCGCGGATGTGTCGTGCGCGGAAGGGAATATCAAAACAAAACTACACGAGACAGCAGTTCCCACGTTTTATCCATAGAAAATGTAGAAGGCCTAATATTCATTTCAAGGTGAGTTTTTTTTTTTACATTATTGCATGAAATTAAAGTATTACCGTTTGTTTATGATCTTGTAATCTTTTAAATTTTTAGGTTTGTACATGCTTTTAGGATAGACTTTTATAGATTATGCATGCTTTGAACTTTCAGTCATTTTGTATGTTTATGTTACCCCCGTGCTTTCCTCTACGGGATTCCCCAGACATGGGCATTGAAACTAAAACTTCCATGTGTGTGCATTACGCATGCAATAATCCGACTAGATAAAATTGACATGCTAACTGATTCTTTCTAGTTAAATTTGAGAATAATGATAAGAAATATTATCGTTGTGCTGTGTCATAGTGTGTGCATATTCATTATTTAGGCACAATTAAGGCACATGAGAATACAGTTTGTCCCGTTATCGTAAATGTGTTTTAAATGTACAGTACATTATTTACGGTTTGTCATTTAAATTTCTCATTTGTCAATAATCAAATCTATTTAAAAACAACCAATGAAAACACGTTAATCTCGTACATGCAGTAAACATTACTGCAAAATACCCGAGATTAGATTATGAATGAAAAATCTTAGAATTAAATTTAAAGACCGCCTAGATCTTCCCAATTCTGTTCTCCACTTGGTCACTGGAATGTCGGCAGCCACTTTCCGTCTGTGAATAGCCCGACTAAAATGTATTCCCAGGTAACAACCCGTGGCCTCAAATTCCCAAGTAACAAGCCACCTGTCGAATACAAGTTTGTAACACATATATACTCGAATGAAAATGTCGAACTACGGAAATCTGTCAGAATTCCATTCTAATTTGTATGCCCCCGCCGGATGCATTAAGTTTTACCCATGACCGTCCGTCTTTCTGTCCGTCCTTCCGTCCGTCCCATTTTCGTTTCCGCACTCTAACAGTGAGTCGCTTATCGTTCTAGAGTTATGCCCCTTTATAACTTGGATAATTACAATTTTTTAGTTTCCGCACTCAAACTTATAATAAGTTTGCCTCATCCAAATTTTATGAAACTCATACACAATGCCAAGAACCACAAAACACAGACACATTTTAAATTTTGGCAGTTTGTTATTTACCTTTCTAGAGTTATGCCCCTTTTTAACTCGGAAAATTGCAAAGCTTGAGCATTGTCCTCAGACAAAATTCTACTTTTATTTAGTTGTATTACAAATATTTTTTTTATATCATTTGAGTCTGGTACCAACAAATAAAAATACTAGGCCCAGATGCACACAAAAACGTAGACAAAAGAAAAAGAATCATGCCCCCCCCCCCCCAAAAAAAAAACAAACAAAAAGAAGAAAAAAGTGCCCTTTTTTACAATCCACCCTCCCTTCCTCTCATAATCAATTTTTTGCTCCCCTAGTTTATTTTTTTAGTTTGCATGGTGAACAGATGAATGTGTATGCAATGTACCCTTAAGACGGTCTGGTGTCATCATTATTGTCAGAGGCTTCAACATTCATCTACAGATGTAATTCGAAAAACAAGGAGTTTCCAGAAATTCGCGATTAAGAATATGTCTATCATCATGGCATTCAGTTCTATAAGTGCATTGAATATCAATATCAACATACATGCAATTCAATAGGCAGTGTTTTTTTCCAAGTTATATTAATTGAGCTATTATATATCAGCTCAGCAGCTAAAAGAAATTGTTTTACATTCACTGTTGATTTTTCCTTCGGAGATCAATTGTCATCAAGTTTTCACTTGCTGATCGGTTTGTTGTTGCTTGTTGTTTAATATACAATGTTGAATAAATGAAATGACACATACTAAGCTACATTTCAATCAATTTGTTTGTTGTTTATATAATACTTACGAAAGGAGGAAACAAAACAAAACAAATTCCGTTAGTTCTATAAATTAATCATTGCACACATTAAATATGCAATATAGCTTAAAAATGAAATTTACAGAGTTTGTGAAACCACTAGACTGTGAATGAACTTGAGGCTTAGAATAGTTAACTGAGAACACATGACTAAGAAATATTTTTACAGAGAATTCACAAAAATGTATATTATTTGCTAACAAACTAAGAACTTGGGAGTCTCATAATTTGATGATCTTAGAATCACCATGCTAGCTGTAAACATTACGTGTTTGACAAAATTACTTAAAATAAATGACTCGGAAACAGTTTTATTGAAAATTCACAAATTTTTTTTGCTTCATGCTTTATAATTACCCCTCCCCCCCAAAAAAAAAGTTTTGGAGAGGGGGAGGTCTTATATAGGAATCACCATGTCCATCTGTCCATCCGTCCCGCTTCATATCCGGTGTATTACTTTTGTACCGTAAAACTTAGGTTAACCATACCTTCTAAGGCTGTGGGTAATATACAAAGTCAGGTCGCTCTGAACTTGACTTTGACCCCTTTGATAGTAAAACCATGTCCAATTCTTATTTTGCTCATTACTTTTGCACCGTAAAACATAAAAAAAGTCAGTTAACCTTATCAAATTAGATAGAACAGTTGATTGGATACTAGCAGAAGTCCATTTCTAGGACTTTTGATACATGTACAAGTGACAGTTTGACATCATGCCTTCATAAAATGATGAATGATCATGCAGCGGCTTGTCGACGTTCTCTAAATATGTTTATTGTGATATATTGTAATAGAGGTCTAAGACTTTCTTCGAAAAACAAAATTTCAAATGATTTCGTAAAAATATTATAAAGAATCAGTTCGCTGTGTATGTAAATGAAGCCGTGCGATATTGGACTACGTATTTTCACGTCAGACAAATTTCTTCCTGCATGTACTTATTCGATTTAATATTTTCAAAAGGGAGTGGAATGCCTATCGATAAATAAAGGGGACAGTAAAAGATGCCTTTGGGTAGTGCAAATTGTACGTAGGGATTTTGTGTTGTTGATTAATGATTTATACACTATGTTCCTTCTTTTCCAGTCGATAATTATTTGAGGAATAAGATACATGTAAATTGACGTTTGTTCGTTTTGTTTTATATCGAATAATTCATGTGCTATGGGAGCAGTTTGGGTCATATATATTATTGATCAATTTAGCCAGTTAAACATGCATATTTTCTTTCGATTCAAAAGAAGAACGGACATGGGTCTGTATTTTGATCAGGTTGTTTTACTGAAAAATAGAGAAATTCGTTCAAATCGAAATGTTCTTCAGAAAGAAAAAGTAAGATATCGCTTGCTCGTAAAGTTTTTGTCGTCCATAGAACAAAATTTTTTAAATTAATCAAATTTCAAGATTTGAACAATTTCATAACTCTGGGCATAACATAATTTTTTCCTTGACTGTGTTTTTTCCAGCGCAAGCTACTTTGTACTTGCGGTTATTTTTTCTAATCGTTGTTTTATTTTCAACAATAGAGAATTTAAGATTGAAACAGTTATTTTTTTTTTCATTTATAATGATTTTTAAAGAAACTTTGATGACATTTTAAACGAAAATTGTGTAATTCATTAACTAGTCTTTTCTTTTATTTGTATTGATGGTCTACAGCCCCATTTACATATATCCTAAATATCTTGATCATATATAGAGAAAGATAATTGCATCCGAGATCGCATTATGTAATTTTATCATCTTTTACTATCCCCTTTATTTATCGATGGGAATTCCACTCCCTTTTGAAAATACTAAATCGATTATGTACAGACAGGAAGAAGTTTGTCTGACGTGAAAATACGTAGTCCAATATCGCACGGCCTCATTTACATACACAGTGAACTGATGTTTATGCCCAATTTATGGGCATTATGTTTTTCGGTCTGTGCGTCCGTTCGTTCGTCCGTCCGTTCGTCCGTCCCGCTTCAGGTTAAAGTTTTTGGTTAAAGTTTTTGGTCAAGGTAGTTTTTGATGAAGTTGAAGTTCAATCAACTTGAAACTTAGGAAACATGTTCCCTATGATATGATCTTTCTAACTTAAATGCCAAATTAGAGTTTTGACCCCAATTTCACGGTCCACTGAACATAGAAAATGATAGTGCGAGTGGGGCATCTGTGTACTATGGACACATTCTTGTTTATAATATTTTTACGAAATCATTTGAAATTTTGTTTTTCGAAGAAAGATATATATTACAATATATCACAATAAGCATATTTAGAGTGCGTCGACATGCCGCTGCATGATAATTCATCATTTTATGAAGGCATGTCAAATTGTCACTTGTATCAGAAGTCCTAGAAATGGACTTCGCTAGTATCTAATTAACTGTTCTATCGCACATAGATTGACGTACGGTGATGCTTGAAACAATGTAATTTATAAAATGTCATAGTTTTAGGACACTGTTGTTATCTGTATATGTATACTTTTACAAATTGTGACTTGGATGAAGTGTTGTCTCATTGGCACTCATATCACATCTTCTTATATCTATGTATCAACATCAACATCAACATCAAAGAGTAAATAAATGTACTTTATTGTCGGAGCGGTGGACTACTGATTCAAAATAATGTTGATTTCGACAACGAGATTTGTAACCGCGGAGAAAAGGTTGAGTGTAAGGTTTTCTATTGTTTAACTCGTAAAATAAAAAAACGGACATATTCCATCTCAACCTGAGAAAGAGTGACTCGTTTCCTTCTAGCAATGTTTATCTTTTGTTAGATGTTGTACTTACAATGGTATTTATAAACGCAGAGTAAAATTTTTAATGTTTGGTATAAATATGTTAAATCATTTATCTTCAAAACAACATTTCAGAAGATAATTGGAAATATCAGAGAATAATAATATAAATTTTAAAAAAAGAAGAAAACCCAACAATCTTTGAATTAAATTGAAAATATAACTGATTAAAAGTCAAATTGACCTCTAAAATTCTTTACACAAAAACAAGTACATCACTGAAACATCTCAAAATGTTCGAAACAAGCCCGTTTTTAAACGCGTACTGGACAACCGTTAGTGAACCATTTTTAAGGTTATGATTCAAGGCTTCATTACACGTTCAATGCAAATGAACTGAATTAATATTTTTGCTTTGTTTAGAAAATACAGTTACTTGTGTGTGAAATAGTTTTAATGGAAGCTCTGTGAAGGTCGTTAATAGGACGCGAATTCATTCGGGCTTGACAAATTGTCACTGGTGTCCAATCAGCTTTTCTGTTGTACAGAGTTTGACGTGCGGTGATGCTTAAATTGTCATAGTTTAAGACATTGTATTAGAACATCAAAATACTATTTACTATGCTATTGTGACTGTGTCATCCTGATTCCAAACTAAATTAATTTAGAAAAAGTGCTTTGCAACCGTTGAGAAAAAGTTGAGTGTAATAATGACTTGTGGTAAAGTATTCTCTTAGTAACGGGAATAATTCCAGATTCAATCATACCACATCTCCTTATTTCTTAGTTGTCTAAGGTATTAGAGAAAACAGACAACCAGCTTTTACAGTCATAACATGTATTATTATGTATTAGTGAATGATTATCGAATGAACGATATAATGAACATAGTATTGAAATCATAACAGCGTGGTTTTTTTATGTGATATAATTGAGTACTGTTTTTTTCTTAAATATGTGATTCTTTGATATCTTTAATCTCTGATTGTCTCTGATAAATGAGGCCTATTTAAAGCTTACATTTTTAAGGATATATTTATTGTAAAGGGTCTTTTGAAAGCTGAGATATTAATTTTGCAGTTGCTTATAAAAAAATAACTGTACTGTTGTCGTTGGGTTGCTGCCTCAATGACGTAAATCCTTCATTTCTTATTGTTCGTATAATTGTACGTAGAAAAATAGAAAGTGGAAGATACCAAAGGAATATTCAAACCATAATGACAATGCCATGGCAACAGACGAAAAACGACGAAAAGACACGGGTGACAGTCTACAAAACACAACATTAAACTAAAGACTGAGCAACACGATCCCCACCAACAACCAGATGTGATCTCAGGTGCTCCGGAAGGGAAAGCATTACATGCTCTACATAAAAAAGTAAATCTATTAACAACGAAATAAGCTTCAATTATAATAAGTATCCATTAGAAAGAGTATATTTTCCTTTTTATTCTATAGTTAAAAAATGTATACTTATTTGATCTAAATGTTTTTTTTTTGTTAGATCTGCTGATGGATCAAGAACAAGCAGAATCATTTCAGTCTCAAAAACCACATCTTCAGCTATTTCAGAAGAATATTCAATAACAGTTTTTGTTGCAAGTGTTATTTTATTGTTTTTGCTGTTGTAAATCTAGTATAAAATTTGTTATTCAGTATGATCAGTATTAAAAAAAATCCTTTTACCGAGTTTCAACGTTTTCATGTCTCTTTGTAGCTAATACAAGATGCCAATCACCAATCAAAATCTTAAGTTGAACTAAACTTTGGCATTTTTACAAATATACTTAAATTTTACATAAATTTCGAGCGTCCGACTTCAACTTCAACATTTTAAAGACATGGATGTATAAATAGAAATGGTAGGAGTTGTATGATCAAAAGGGACCTAAAAATAGCGAAATTCGTCTAAGGTCACTTTTTCGTGATGAAATTGGATCCTTAGTTTCTTCATTTATAAACGGAGAATTTTAGATAAAAATTATGATAAATATCATATCTTTACCGAAGCGCAGACTTCTGAGCTCATGATTCCTTCGGGTACTGATAGTCCACCAGCAGTAATATCGGTCCAGTAATAGATAAAAAAAATAATAACAGTTCATAAATTTTGTGCGACCAAAGCGCTTTTCTGAAAAATTATTATTTAAAAATCTTGTAACGGTCAGTTAACTTCTAAACTTCCCCTGTGGAAATGACACTTTTGTTGGCACTATTATGGCTGACAACTACTGCCGCTCTCAATTTATACAACCCCTAAAAAAATAGACGACTGAACGAAAACGTCAAAATTAAAATTCTGAAAGCCTCTTCAAAAGAATAAACAAGTGAAACTGTGAGCTACTGCTCACTGATGATACCCCCGCCAAAATATTTCGGTAAACAGGAAGTTGTTGAGTGATGAATCTGAAAACGCATCACACGGTATAGCTGACTTATATAAACCCTGAAACCAAATTTCAGAAATCCATGTAATGTAGTTCCTGAGAAAAATGCGACGAAAAATTATCATGGGAATAACGGACGGACTGACGGATGGACTGACGGATGGATGAACAGACAGAGGTAAAACAGTATATCCCCACTTTTTTAAAGCGGGGGTATAATCATACAAACGATTCATTGAATACAACTTATAATTTTCTTCAAGAATAATGGATGAAGACGTCAACCGACATCAGACAAAACCAATTTTCACTTTATATTGATAAACTGACTGTTGTATATGCAAATGTGTTTTATGTATTTTGTATTTTGTTAGTCCCAAGTTGTTTTCATGCTTTTATTACAAACAAGATTATTATTATTATTATTATTATTATTATTATAATTATTATTATTATTATTATTATTATTATTATTATTATAATTATTATTATAAAATACCTTACAATGAAATAAAATCTAAAAACAGTTGTTGGGAAAAAATTGAAACCGGATTTAACTGGAATTGTATCTATGACCATTTGAAAATGATGTCACAACTACTTGCATTAAAATATAAAATAAACTGTTGAACTGTAATAAAAAAAAAGTCAGTCTGCTAAAATAGTTCTGTGATGGTGGTTATCTATCAAAAGTATAAAATGAATAACAAACTCAACCTAGCAAACCAAGTAACTATCATGAATTTAAATTGAAAATAGTTTATATACAATATATGTACACTGTTGGAACAGTATAAAATTTATTTGTATGAGCTTTAGAAACAGGACGAAAAATAATTTCCTAGTCACACTTTTGCTCTAGGTGGCCTGGAAATGTGTTTATTTTTGGTACGCTCTTTGGACTCGTAACTAAGGAAACATTTTTCCTTAGATACAAGACGTAAGGACATAATTAAGAAGAAAATTTATGTCTGTAACATATTCTCTATGACACAGCAAATCATTTAAGAACATTTTAACCTGAATTTATGTTTTGACACATTCAAGGTTTATACAGTATGAAGCTCAATGCTTATTGACATGGCCTCTTAAAATTTACAAACAAAACAGGAAAAAATATCATAAGTCTCTGTCTTGTCGGTGGTTCCTCTGACGATCATGGTTCCATAATACTGCAAGGTTATGGTAAAACGAACTTACAGAAAGTTAACATATTGAAAAATATATAATGTATTATATATAATATATTTACAAGTACATGTGCACAGTTTAACCAAACAATGTCATTGTAATTTCCACCCTCAAAATCATCTGTACGCACAGATTTGATTTTGAAGTCATTCCTAGAGAGACGATATTACAACTATTTGTTTACATCCGTTGACGACCATGCGCCTAACAATCTATTTTTTAAATCTTTAGGCGCCTAACATTCTAACCACTACACCAGATCCAATCCTCAATGGAGGAAGTTTCACGGAGGTAGTGTTACCTTTGTTTGTCACGAAAGCTTTCTAACTTGTCCGTTACATACACAGTGCTTGATGCGATCAGGGGCTTTAATTACTATGACTTCAATCCGCTGCAGGCATATGGCATTCGGGACTATGTGAAAATTGCATCGCTCTTTTGGCCTCTATGAATAACTGTGGCTCAATAAAACACAAGTCTGGTAGCAATAATTCAGTGAATTATTTTGTGCAAGTTTGATTCAGCTTCAAACTAGATAAACATATGCAGAGTAGGTTTTTACGGTTATAAGTATATTAAAATTTATTCGAGCAGCAGTCTGGAGGCCGATCATTGTCTGAAATTCTGGAAGTGGATATTTCAGAACAATTCATGACAAATCAGGAGCATACTTATTTGTATCCTGCAATCAGCCAACTATTGTACAAATAACAGGTACACAAATTATATTTTGCTTAATTTGTACTTGTAAAAATAGTATATCCTGTTGCTCCACTTCAATATTGAGCAAACTGTAATACGAATATTTCTTTTTGTGTGACAGTTCATTTTGGGGTCCTCTTCGCGGTCCGCGTTTAAATTATGTCGATTTCTTTGAGAAATCAGAAACAACTATTCGTATTTAAACCATTAAACCTTAAAGTGCCGGGTGTAAATTGCAAACTAATGAAAAAAATATATGTACATTGCCGGAAATATAAAATGTATTTGTACTTGCTACGAAACAGGAGTAAAGTTAACGTTGCCAATCATATAAAACATTTTTATTAGTGAAGATGTTTTTTGTAATATGTTGCTATGGCAACGGGAAAATGTAAAGGAATTTGAATTGGAAATATTATAGAATAAGACCTTAGGATGGATGAGTTATGGCCTTTAAACTACTTTCGTCTTCAAGCCATTGTTCCACTACTAAATTGTCTATTCTTCTTACCAGAACACTTGGTACAATCAAAAATCTGATAATAAATTGTTCAAATAAGGCCTTCGAAAATAGTGGAATTAATTACTTTTGGAGTGTCAAGAACTCGTTGGAAGTACTTGATAAATTACATGCATATATTGGTGATTTTGAATCTGTTCAAAGTTTTGATTTTTTCTACCCTATATACCACATTGCCTCACATTCTCATTAAGAAAAAATTCACACACCTAATTAAATGGGCATCTAAAAAGTCAGAATGTGAATATATATGTTCAAACTCTTTTAGGTCATTTTTTAGTAGCAATAAACAAAAAAACTATGTCAATTGGACATGCTTTGATACTATATATGCCCTTGAATTTTTACTAGATAACATTTTTGTTCGCTTTGGAGATTCCGTATATCGTCAGGTTATCGGAATTCCAATGGGGACTAACTGTGCACCACTTATTGCGGACCTTTTTTTGTATTGCTATGAGTTACAATTTATGACAAAAATCAGCAAAGACCCATCGAAACAACATCTGATACACAAATTTAATAATACTTTTAGGTATTTGGATGATATTTTGGCTCTCAATAATGACGACTTCAGTATGTATACTAAAGAAATTTATCCTGTTGAACTTACTTTAAATAAAGCTAATACTAACAATGACCACTGCCCTTTCTTCGATCTTGATATCTATATCATTAATGGAAAGCTTAATACTAAAATATATGATAAAAGAGATGATTTTTCATTTCCTATCGTTAATTATCCATTTTTAGATGGTGACGTTCCCTTGTCACCATCTTACGGTGTTTATATATCTCAACTTGTACGATTCGCTCGTGTATGTAACAATGTTTTAGATTTTAACGAGAGAAATTTATGTATTACTGAAAAATTATTACACCAGGGTTTTCGATATCACAAACTAGTCAAAACATTTACTAAATTTTATCATCGGTATAAGGACATCATTCGTAAATATAGCTCAACATGCAGACTTCTTATACGTTCAGGTATTTCACATCCAATTTTTTTATGGAAATATTCTTTATAACGCACAAAAATGTCAGTATTCACCTCTGAAGCTAACAAAACCTTTAAATAGACTTATTAAGAAGGGATATAGTTACGATACTGTTGTCAGGTCATTAAAGATTGCATATTTTGGCGTTAATATTGATTCACTTATAGGGTCTTTGCATCGGCACTAAACACATTTGTTTAAAAACCAGTTGTTGGCATGACACGGGTTATGTTCTTCTCATATATGTTATGATGGTATGATACTAAACCCCTAACGGGAAGGATTGTGCCTGATATTCATATGATGAAGACATAATCTTTCAATCAGTTTAATTGAAGTCTGGAGCTGGCATGTCAGTTAACTGCTAGTAGTCTGTTGTTATTTATGTATTATTGTCATTTTGTTTATTTTCTTTGGTTACATCTTCTGACATCAGACTCGGACTTCTCTTGAACTGAATTTTAATGTGCGTATTGTTATGCGTTTACTTTTCTACATTGGCTAGAGGTATAGGGGGAGGGTTGAGATCTCATAAACATGTTTAACCCCGCCGCATTTTTGCGCCTGTCCCAAGTCAGGAGCCTCTAGCCTTTGTTAGTCTTGTATTATTTTTTAAATTTTAGTTTCTTATGAGTTTAGTATGGCGTTCATTATCACTGAACTAGTATATATATTTGTTTAGGGGCCAGCTGAAGGACGCCACCGGGTGCGGGAATTTCTCGCTGCATTGAAGACCTGTTGGTGACCTTCTGCTGTTGTCTGTTCTATGGTCGGGTTGTTGTCTCTTTGACACATTCCCCATTTCCATTCTCAATTTTATTAGTAATGCATAGCTTCGTTGAAAGTATTTTTCTAAAGATTAATGCCGATATATGGTATAAAGTTACGG